ACGGGAGGGGACAAAGTGACGGGGCCACCCCGCGACGTCATTCGGGGTCGGTCGCGGGGGGAGACGAGAAAACGGCCAGAAAAGGAGTAAAATTGGGGGTCAAAGAGACACCCCCCACCCCCACCCCCACCCAGGAGTTTTGGGGGGGTCCTCACGGGGAGATGGGGGGGGCACCACCCCAAAATCCGGTGGCGGCTTTGTGTGTCCCAAGAGAGGAATTCCCTCCGTGCCGGGGGCTGGGCAGGGACGGGACCCCCCACGCCCACCCACCTCCCCCCGGGGGGGGTCCCCAAGGCCGGGGGGGGACCCTTGGCGAGGAACACACCCCACTCCTCGCCGGGTCCCGAGCCCGGGTGGGGGACAGGGGGTTGGGGGAGGGCCGTGGGCGGGTGGGGGGGTCACGTCCCCCCCGAATTGGGGTGGATGATGTGTCTGAGGGCGCTCCCCAGGCTGCCCCTGCTGGGCGAGCGGGCGGGGGGCACCGGGGAGGGCTCGGCCCCCCCTTCCCCCCGCAGCTCCATCTCGATGGTCATGACGACTTTGGGGGGCCGGGGCGAGGCCGGGGGGGCCGCGGGGCCCTCCCTGCCCTCCCACCGCTATTTCTTATCCCGCCGGGAATCCCCGGGGGCTCCCTTGGCTTTCTTGGCGGCCCGGCCGTGGTCCAGCATGGCATAGAGCACCGGGGCCTGCGGGGGACAATTCACCGAGGGGTGAGGGGAGACCCCCCCTCACTGTGCCCCCCATCCCCCCGAGGGCACTCACCTGCCGGCTGCGCTTGGAGCCGTCCTTGCCCGAGCGCTGCAGCTTCCCCTTCTCCATGGCGCTGGAATTTGGGGGGGGGGTGACAAGGGGGTTGGGAGGGTTGTGCCCCCCCCCCCAGCTCATTTTGGGGGGTTTTTAGGGGGGTGGGGGCTCACCTGAGGCGCCTCTGCAGCAGCGCCTGGCGCCGCAGCCAGCACGAGCGGGTGGCGTAGCCCAGGGCCACCAGCGCGGCCACCACGAGCAGCCCCCCGGCCACCACCGAGCCCAGCACGACGCCGTAGCGGGGGGGCACTGCGGGGACAGCGGGGACACACCGTGTCACCCCCCTGGCAGCGGGCAGTGGCACCGTGTCGCCCCCCAGCAGTGACACTGTGTCACCCCCCAGCAGTGACACCGTGTCACCCCCCAGCAGTGGGGAGGGGACGGTGGCACCGTGTGTGTCCCCTCCCCGGCCCGTACCTTTCTCCAGCACGTAGAGGGTGACCTGGGAGGACTTGCCCACGATGTCGGGGGGGTTCTTGACGTCGCAGGTGAAGGTGCCGTTGTCGGTGGGCTCCAGGCGGTGGATGACGATGGAGCC